CCTTTCATGGTTCTGTTCTGGCATGGATCCTTTTACTGCAAAAACCACAGACGCTCTGAAAGACTTAGACAAACCTCCTCATTTTGTAAACATTTCGTTTATAGCGCTTTCAGAGAGTTAATTTTTCTTTTTTAGCAGCAGTTTATCAGTGAAAAACAACAATAAAGTGCAGCAGTGATCAAATGTAAACGTTATAGGAGAGACATGGTGCACAGAGGCAGTGATGTGGAAGGTTCAGAGCAGTGCAAACTAAGGTGGGCTCTCCTCATCCTCCGCAGGAAGTCCAAGCGCTTCTGGGTCCTTTGGACCAGTGAGGCGGTGTTTCCAGTCCAGGTGAGGCTGTCTGTGATGTGTACCCCCAGGACTCTGATTCAGAATGAATACGCCCTCTAGTGGACAGCGGTAACATCACTACACAAAGATGTTCCATCTTAACAAATGTTATCAGTTAGATTGAATAAATCTTATTTAAACAAACCATGTCTTGAAAATCATCCCTAATTCAATCTAATTCAACAATAAACTGAGCGGATCCAACTAAAAGGAGAACATGTCTGACTTATTACTGCTGGTTAAATCTGGGCTGATGCTGCACCGCACCGCTCTGCCTGAATGGAGGCTCCTCTGAGACTGTTGCCAGGCAACCTTCAGCATCTAGAGGGGAAACACTGCCCTCTGCAGGTGAAAATGAGGAGAGCAAATGCTGAACCATCCCCAGGCTGCTCCTCCCGGCCCCCTCCTGCTTCCACAGCTTCTCCAGCATCGTCTGTCGCTGCTAAACCTGCCGATGTCTGCACTGCTGCTTCAACCACCTCAGCCTCTTCAACCCAGGGGGGCTACCACCCCCACAGCATCATCATCATCATCATCATCGTCGTCCTCCAGGGTAAAAACCCCATTTGGATGCTAAGATCCAGATCCATCTGACATCACTGATGCCAACAAACATGAATGATGCGCATTCCAGAACCAGATATACTGAATTAATATCAATGTTTTATTATCAAGGCTGCACTTTAAAAAGTGAAATTGTATAGAGAGCTTTTCTAAACTAAATTTCTTTTTGTCTACACTTGTGCAGAGAAAATGATCAAATAAATCTGTCTAAGTCTAATGGTTTGATAAATACTCAGACTGACCAATGACCAGGAGTCTGAACGAGCGTGAAACTCATCCTCTGGGTTCCAGGAACTGATACTGAAAGTGAAACAAAGCAGCTTGGAAAAAGTTGCTGTCTGATGCAACGTTGCAGCAGAACATAAGAAAACATGGAAACATTTCAGACGTCCGACATTTTATGAAATGTTTAACTGAGGTGATTCAAACCAGACAGAGATTATGGGATGAAAATGAGAATAAAAATGCTTAAGATCTATATTAATGACTTTAAAGCATTAATTGATTTAATACATAAAGTTAAATGCATCAAGCATCAATGTCTGTATTATTTAGACACTATTGGCTCAAAACTTACAGAACTCTCCAGAATTAATATTTTAAAAATTGAGATAATGATTTCCAGATTTGATTTTTCCAGCTTTATTTTTCTTAATGTCATTAAACTGTCACAAACACAAACCATCGAAATAAACTCTCTGCATTTAACTTAATGTCATTAAATTGGATAAACTCGCTTCAATTTCATTCTTCAAAACAATTTTATCATCCAGGTTCACCGACACTAACAGCTGATTCTCTACAGTGACTTTTGGGTTGTCTGTTTGTATTTTATGTGTGTATTACTAAAGTATTCATTTTAGCCCTACTTCCCTTTTCCTAAGTGTCAGGCCCCCATTGTAAATAAGAACTTGTTCTTTATGACTTGCCTGTAAAAATTAAAGGTATAAAAAAAAAAGAAACAAAACATCTCCTTGGGGAACAGAGGGCTGCCATTGTGCGGTGCCCGGGGAGCAAATATCAGCTGTGCTGCTGCCATCAACACCTTTGTTTCTAGATGTTGGAGCTTGGCCTGTTTTCCAGTGTAGTCCTGTTTCTCTGACTGTGAC